AAGCTGTATATGAGCTTTCACAGCAGTAAAATTTTGCTTCTTGGGAAAATCAGTATGTCTCTTAACTTTGTTTGACTTCGTACCAAATTAATTTTTTTTCCTTCCATGGTTTCTCTCTCCTTTTAATGCTACTCAAGGTCCACAGTGCAGCAACATCTTTGGCAGCAGATCTTCTAAAATACCATACAGATCATATGGTTCTCAAAGCATTAAAAATCACAGGAGTAGAAGGAAATCTTGAAGCTGTAGCAGAATATACTTGCAAGCTATCAGAGCAGAAAGAACAACTTGTTGAGGTGAGTTCACAGCAGCTTTCATTATGTAAGACACTTAAAAAATAGAGTGGCTGTATTTGCATCAATCTATTCTTTAGGAAGGCTTTGGTCTGTGTTTTTGTAAATTTTTTTTAATTTTATTTTCCTGGTATGTTGTTGAATTCTGTATTGTCCTTGGAGGGGTCTGAGCCAGAGGTGTCACTGTGGCATACAGGTGCTGTTAGAAAGGATATACAGTCTTACCCAATTCTCCTTCTGGATCTAGACTCAATCTCTATGTATATGTTGAGTCTAAAATATTAACAAAAACATAGGTTTCTAGATCCAAGAAGAGATGATAACCCTTTTCTTTCATGCAGGAGGCATCTAGCAATAGCTCAATCCAAATATACAAGAATGCTGGAAATTATATGGTTAAGTTTCTTAATGCAGTGAATTTGACCATTTTGAAGGTCCTGTATAGTTTTTGTCAGTAAAGAAAGCCAGTGAAAGTCTTCCTCATTTGTGAAAAGCAGTGTGTATGTTCCATGGACTAATGTATTCATGGTTTTGTATGGTAGTATTCACACATATGAATAAAGAGGACTTCTCAGTACTGAGAAATCATGGTTTATAGGAGTGGCTGTGGAGAGGATGTCTGCCACCTGTACCTTGTTGCTATGAGCTAAGGTACCTGTACAAGTAGGAGACATACAAAGATCTGAAACATGGATTGTGAAAACCATCACCTGAACTTGCATGGTGTCTAATATTAATTTCTTAAAAAATACTATGTACAGGGCTTGAGGATTCATCCCAGAAGTATGAATAAGCCAAAGCAATACTCTTGAACTTCCAGGACTGGCAGATCAATGTTGCAAATTTTTAATTTCAGCTTTAATGTCCCCTTTATCTGTGACTATTTAGTGTTCCAGTGAGACACTGCTTTTTTTTTTCAGTCATAACCATGAGGTTTAGTGTTTGCATGTGAGGCCTTATAGCATTTTTGATGGACAGTGCAGTAAGTTTCGTAAGTCCTGTCTCCATCTTACAAAATCCTTTTGATCTGAAAACTTCCATGTTCCTTCTTGACCAAAAGTTCACTCTCAATTAAGAAAAAAAAAAAAAAGGATGTTAACTTACTGTGAAAGGAAACAGTATTACTTCCCTAAACTAATTTGATGCTGAATTGCTCAAATATAATTCAGTCCCCTGGATGATGGAAGCCTAAATTTTCCACATCGTTGCTAATTGCTGAATAAACCTGTTCTGGTGAAGTTATTTAGGCTACAGTATTTCCAAGTTCTGGACGTGTGTGATTGCTTTCGAGTGCGGTCCCCTGTAAGCTTCTGAAAGGACTGTCAAAAGCCTTGTGTGTGTTTGTTTGTTTGTTTGTGTGGATTTTTGCATGTACACTTTTTCTCGCTACTAATGAAAGCATATTTTTTACCATTCTTTTAATATTTTTTAAAAAATCTAGATGTGTCGCTTATTGAGGCATGTTTCTGGAACTGAGCCCCTTGAGATAACTTGCATACATGCAGAAGACACCTTTCAGGTCACTGGCCCACAGGTATGTTTAGCTTTCAAATTGACCACTTCTACTAGACATACATCAATAAAAATTACTTGTGTGAATTTTTTTGAGAGATAATGTTGAACTCTTCAAAGCAGTTCTAAGAAGGAATTACACTTTAATGCTGGGTAGCAGCCACAAGAGCACACAAGGAAGATCACCAAGCCTGCAAATGTCAGATGAACACACTACAAAGACATAATAGTAGCAGTTTAATTTTGTGTTTTGCCTGTGGAGGCATTTGTGAATTCATGTGGAACACTATGTACTAGGACTTGCAATAGCAAATGCTTTGTTCTCTGTCCAGATAATTTCTGCTGCAGAAACACTGGCATTACACCCATCTAGCAAGATTGCAAAAGAAAATCTGGAGGTGTTCTGCGAGGCCTGGGAATCTCAACTGAGTGACATGTCTTTATTGTTGAGAGAAATCAACGATGTGTTTGAAGGAAGACGAGGTAAGGATGCTGTGTAGAAATAGAAAAATGTAGTTTTCAAAACACATAATCTAAGAATTTTAAGTGTGATTTAGGAAATACTGTTTTCTTAAGAGAGGAGTGCAACAAACAGTTTAACAGCCTGTGGGATCTAGGTATCAGTACACACATATATTGGTTTTGTGTAGATGTTGAATCAGGCTGCTTACTGGATATTTTTTCAAATAAAAGCAGCCAAAAATTTAAAGGCCTGGTTTGTGTATGATTAGGTATGTTTAACTTTCTGCACTGTGGCTAGTTCTAGCAAAATCAGATGGAACTGTTGCAAGGGCACAAATGTGTTAGACACAGCTCTTTGCCACCAGTGTCCAGATGTTAGGCATGTAGGGCTTTCATCCCACCTTTTTCGTTTGTGTAAGACATATCAGCTCATGAGAGTCAAGATACAACTTGAATTGTGTGACATGTTTAATTAATTTCCTGCATTTTAGGGCAATACGTATATACATATATATTCTATACTGTCAGCTTGCCTTGTATTCACTTCATAATGTAGTGAATGTAGTTATTTGATTTTTAAACTGCTGTCCTTCCTCCTGGATGGAATTTCTGACGACTCTGCACAATCTTGGGATATTTTCTCTGGTTGGTAAGTTTATTGGTATTTGTACAACATGTAGAAGAAAAGCTTGGAATCTTAAGGAAAAAAAATCTGTATTTACTTTTAGCATAGGGTAATTTACGTTTAAAATGGAAGGCATTTTGGTTTTAATTTTTGTCTGACATAATTTTTTTCCAGATTATGTCTTTATTGTAGCCTGTCATACTTCTTGCAGCTATGTGTTTGTTTCAGTCTTTAAGGTATAATTGCATACAGATAGAATGTAATATATAATAATGCTGAATGTCTTGTATTTTTAAGAAAATTGCTCAGGTTTTAGAGTTAGTTAAATACAGGGACTTAATTTTTTGTATCTAAGATACAGAAAAAGTAAATCCTTATTCAGGTTAGACGACACTTTATCAATGATACAGTACTTCATCTTGCTACTAGTGTGAGATGTTTCTCCATTTTTACAGTTGATTTTGTCAGTTTAACTTTCTGTACTTGATTTTTTGTGTAACCAGTTTCCTGGCAGCATTGTGAGCACAGTAGCAACCAGCTACAGGGTGTAATATTTTAAATTGTTGCTGCTGGTTGCTAGATGAGTGTGTGCCTGAGCCTCAAGACTTGTAGAAGGGAAACATATGTTGAAATTCTAGGTGGGTTTACAACATTTGTGTGTAGCACAGTTTTTGGGAATTTGAGACTTTTGAGAAACACATAACTGTTATCCTACTTGTTCTTCCACCTTGGTCTGGAAAGCCACATAAATATGTGTAGCAATCAGAGATTCTGTTTATGGGCCTTTTAACATTCAGCAGGTTTCTGGTTTGTTTTGGGAGCCAGGGACATACTCACTTTCTTTCTTTAAACATAATACTTTATAAAATGAAACTTAAATTATGGTATTGCTCTATTATTAATGTGTTAGAATAAATTTGGAATTTCTAGGGCTGATCATGCAGTATCTGATTTTTTTCATATTCATACAGTGGTCTAGCAGGGTTCAATGATAACCTTTTTATGTGTTTCTATAGGAATCTGTGCATGTGTGCATACACATATATATTGCTGTGTATTAGGATGAGAATCATGAAGCCACAGCAAAGCATATACTTGGCTCTCCAAACAAATTGTTCTTGATGTGAGGGGCCCAGCTTCCTCTGCACTTAGTAACTTTCTCTTGGGGCTGCTGATGGCAGAAAACACATTTTCCATAAATGGCACTTCCCACTTTCTTTAAAGCATCATTTCGCAAGGGCAACCCGATGTCATTCCTTGAAGGAGAGAAAAGAGAATGGGTAGTTGTTAGAGGCTATCTCATGCATGGACCTAAGTGCTGTGAAGACTACCTTCTCCTGTTTGGCATAGCCAGATGAGTCTGTTTTTATTAGCATCTCTCATTTCCTTGGTCTTTCAGCATCAGGTGTTCTGATACCACCCCTGGTAAGATACTAAGCACAGCTTGTGTTCCTCTATATGGCCTTAGGTACATTAGGCCTTGCATTGCCAAAACAGTGCTTAAGAGATCATGTCTCCATTTTCCTTGTCTTTTGGGCCAGCCTAGTAGGGGCCTTCTCTCTGAATTTGGTTTGTTTGATATTAGCCATCAGTTATCTCCTTAGAAGTAATTTGGTCTCCTATATCCACCCATCTTTTACGAAGTTTTCCTTTGTATTGTGGGCTAATCTGCTTTTGTTTGCTTGTTTTCTATTGTTGGACTTCAGATTGGCTCTTGTCATTAAAAAAAAAATGGGGGGGGGGGAAGACTCCCTCCCCTCCCCCAGTCCCCCCACCTTTTTGCTACCAGAAAATACCCTGAAGTTACCTTTGACACTTTGGGCTGGTTTTTTCTCCTAGAAAATACAATTGGTGACCCAGTAAATAAATGAAACTAAAATATTTGTTTCCTGAGAGAGTGTAAGAGTGGCATTCACAAAACTTTTGCCTCTGAACACAATGAAGTTTCACTATTTCATAAGATTTTATTCTTCTTGTAATTCATGATACTTGTCTTGAGGTTGGTAAAAGTGTCTTTATTTTACAGACTAAAATGTATCAAGTGCTTTATTCCTAGTAAAATTGTGATTGTGTGTAACAAAATATAGAATTACAGTAAGAGGTATATATTTTTCTTTCTCCTCAGTTTAAAAACCTGTATTTTTGTACTACCAGTTTAAATGTTTGGCTTTGTTAGAGAGTTCAGAATACAGCTTAAGATGCAAAAATTGAATGGTGACTAAATGTGCTGGACACATAAAATAAAATAAGCATTTTTCAGATTACACTAGATTCATACTGTTTATACTGATTTCCTTATTTTTACAAGCAATCACATTTTTCTTAAAGGTTTTTTCTTATTTCTGTTTGCTACATATTTCCATTTGGTTTCCATAATTCTGAATGTCGACTTTTGTGTGTGAGAAGTGTGTCTTCTCGGTATGCACTTGTATTCCATTTGTTATGTCAAAGCTTTTTGTGTTTGAACTTTTTTTTTTTTTTTTAACAAGGCACAAGTTTTGACATAGCTCCAAGGAGATCTTTTATGTTGCAGCATTTTAAAATTACAAGTTAGCTTTTGTTCTTGGTATGTCTTACATGCTGTCTTACATGCCCTTTAGCTGATGTTTTGATACATGGGATATTGTAAATCACTTCTCCTACTTTTTATCAGTCTTTAGGGAGAGATCTTGCTTGGATACATGTTTGGGCAATTAATATCTAAATAACTCTGCATTCTGAAAAAAAATAGGCAGCTTGTTCCCTGATAGCTCATTCATCTTTTGCAAAACTGGGTAGGGGAAAAGGTGGTCTTAGGTTACGTTTTTCATATTTATCAGGAGGGTTGGGAGACACTTGTCAACAGCCTAAAATTTGGTTTTTTAGGAGTCAGTTGCCTAGACATGGAGCTCAGAATCTTTTTGTGGTGTCAGGAGATAAAGGGCATGCTTCAAAAAATCATGAATGCACAAAGGAGCTGTCTTCTGAGGACTCAGTGGAATTTCTCTAGGAGCTGATAGAAGACAAGGAAGTAGCAGTTGTAGGAGGGTTTGTTGCTCATCCTTTGTTGAGATGCATCATCTCTGTGTAAACCTGGTATTGACATCCATCGTAGTAGCCCTTGGGGTTTTTGGGGTAAAATCTTATTTCTTACTAGGTTTTAAGGTTTTTACTTATTTTAATTGGGTTTAGCAGTTTTTTCTCTCCTGAATCTACTGCATAAGTCTTCACAGATCATTAAGGCTTCTAGCAGCTGAAGCTCTAATCCTAGGCTTTTAGCCCAGGCTCTGTTTCTTCTTTTTATTAAAACCTTCTTATGAACTGTTAAGTAACACATAAAAGGATTTTTTTTTCTCAGTTTGTTTTGCTCAGATTTGGAATATTTGAGGCTTGTAGTGATACAAGAAACAATTGAATAAGTCTGTAAAATGATGTTGAACTTTTTTCTTTATAAAATACAATGCATGTGTGATCATACAGTACAGTACAACATGAGGGTTTTATTGGCATTTCTTAGAAAAACCTGCCTAGATATTTCTTACCAGTGGCACTGTCGACTATAAATTTTAGACCATACAACCCATGCCAAGAAAAGCCTTACGTGGAGCTACCACTTGCATGTTCTATACTTTGCAACAAAATGAGTGCATGTAACTAGTCATTGGAGAGAGCTGCTTTACTCCCTATGGAATACAAGCAAGGGGACTAGAAATATTACTGAGGGAAACTGTTCAGATAAGCTTTCTTGAATGCCAGTTGCTGGGAGCTAAAATCTGAACAGTACAGAGCTCTTGGCCTGTCTCTCTGAAAGCACGAGACAGAAGATCTGCATTAGTCAGAGAGGAGGAATTACAGGTAAGTAATTTGCTTTTATAGTACTTCTATTTAAGGATGAATGAGGTAAGGCATTTGATCCCATTGATTAAAATCTGCATACAAATTTTGGTATAAACCTGTGTGTTCTTCATAGGAGAGAAGCGTGTCTACCTGTCACTGCCCAGACCAGGGGTAAGTTGCTTTTGGGTTTGTTGTATTTACTTCATATCTGCTGTTATCTGTTTGACTTCTTTCTGTGTCACAACTTGATGGGGACACAGCAGTATCTTGATAACATGTCCTGAATGGATGGTTGACAGTAAAATATCAAACTTTGTCAGTTTATTAAACAAATAATAAACAGACTGAAGACTAAGGTAGCTAATTATATAATGTGTTTTAATCACTTTAATTGTACAGGAACTTTATTTCCCGTTCATTAATATGACATTTGTTACCACATACCTCTACTGTCATGCTATATAATTTAAAGATGCATTGTTGCTATTAAAACAGTAAGAATATGCTGCAACATACTGAAAATTAAAAAAAAAAAATTATCAGATCACCAAGACTTAATATTGTAGCCCAAGTTGACCTATTTGGAACCAATGGACATGTTTGAACCTGTTGTAGGCTCTTCAGATAATGGGTTCTTGTGTCCTTCTGTGATCTTAAGTGTGTTTAATGTAGAGAAAAAAGTTACACCCATTATCCAGTTTTAGTTGTGAGATATTTAATATCCTTAGCTGATTATAGTTGATATTACGTTGTTTCTGAGAGCATCTGTATGTTAGGAATTCTTCTAAACCTTGTTAGTATCATGTCATCAGTCATTTGGTTCACTTGCTACGATCTGAATCTTTTCATGGGTAGGAAAAAAGGAAAGAATGATCTCAGAAAGTACAGTAAGCTTTAGCTTGTTTCTTTCTCTCCATGCTTTCTTTCCTTAACCTGTACTGTTCAGGAATTCGGGTGTGAAACGATCCCCTGTCTCCGTGTCTTCTGTTACGTAATTTCTGTGACTTCAAACACAAGTACTACTTCTGACCCTTAATGAAAAGAGAAAAGCTCATATATTATCAATCCAATCTGCAGATTTAAATAGAATATAACGTTTGGCTGTGTGAGCATGGGTGAATTCCATGGTTAGGGAACTAAATACTGAAACTGGAAACAGTCTGGTTCAGTGACTTTTGATAGGGTTTTTGTCCTTCACTGTTTAAAAGCTACATAGCTTCTAGACTTCAGCCAAAATTTAAGGAGATGTTTGAAGTCAGATTTCCACTTACTGATTCATATGCCTTTTAAAATATTCTCGATGAAAAAATTGTGCTCAGGATTTAAACAGTTCTGCTTTGTTACTGTTTGAAAGTTGCTGCCTTGAGTTTTGCAAGATACTTAACCATTGGGGGGACTGAAAATAAATGCACAGTTTGAAAGTAGACAGGAGCTGTAAATTACATTCATAAGACATCAGAGTTTCTTCACAGAGTAATTTCTTTGCCTAACTGATGCATTAAGTAAGCTTTGGAACTGCCTCTCTTCCCAGTGCTGTTCTTCTCAGTAGTGCCTCTTCTCTCCCTGCTGTCAGCACAGAGGTCTGCTGTGCCTGGCTGACGCCCACGCTGTCCCTGCACAGAGGCCATGTTGTTCTTGTCGATCTAATTAGATTACTTATTTTGTTACATCTGTTTAATTGCAAGTGTGCTGTTTGCTGGTAATGAGTGGCATCCCAGACCAGGCCGTAGCTGAGCACCAGAGCAGCAGTGCTGATTCACGTGTGTGTTTACGGCATGGGTATATTTTTTTTCTCTATAGCATTAAGTGTCAAATCACGTTTTAAAAGCAGAATAACTTGTCTGGTTTTTTAGCAACTGCACTATTCAAATAATGCAACTGAACACTAGAGTGGAGAAAACTACAAAAATGTTACAAGATTTCTTTAGTTATTTGTGGATAGAAAAACTTAACCTGTGCTAGAGGACCGGTTTTCTTGAAGTACCCTTCATTCTCACAGCTTAAATATTTGTGATACTGTCTAGCACAAAGTTTGTGTTTACATGCAAATTTAGTTTGGTTTTGTCTTCTTTTCTTAAGATGCTGCCTTAAAACCAGCATTTGTTAAACTGCATCTCTAATATGCAATATAGTCAAATTTAAATCGCAATTGAGAGTATCAGTTATTACCCTTTGTGCTAAATCTTTCAGTATGAGATCAGCATTTCTAATACATAGGCAGAATTACAGAGTCTAATCAGGGTAGACATTCATAAGATTCAGAATATTTAAACATTTCGGGATGAGAAAAGAGAAAAGGCATGAAAGCTAAACTGAGCACCAAATTGCAGTAGGAAATTCAGTAGTAGTACTTTACTTTGGCTCAGACTCCTGAGGTGAGAGATGGAGATGGTGCCGGGAGCTTAATTTCTGATGCTGTTCATAATGAACAGCGTTGGGTTTTTTTCCCCTGCAGGCATTACTGAGCTTAATTTGCCCAAGTATTCCCACTAATGAATAGCAGCAGCTTTTTTCAGATTCTCAGACAAGGGTCTCCGTCCTGCTCTTCTCCTCAGAGATGATCCATCCTCCTCCTCTGTCTCACACCTCTCCAAGTTATGACACCAACTTTGTATCTTGCTATTCCTCTTCAATCCAGCGCAGTTTCTGAACATGGACTGTGGATCTCATGTCTGTTAGTTTTTGCTGTCTTTGCACAACGACAGCACCAGCATACAAAGTTAAAGCCAGGAACTGCAAATTAATTTGAAACAAATGATGTACTCCTGCATAAGCGTGTCATGCAGTTGGCAAGAACTGCGCTAATTATTGTTTAATCTGAGCCAGTGTTTGGCTTGCAGCCAGACTGGTATTTTCAATAGTTCAATGACTCAAATAAAAGAAGGAAACTCATGAAAAAATCAAAGTGTCGCTATTTGTTTCCAGCTGTTTTAACAAAGGGACACAGAATAATGAGCTACATGGCCCCACTAGCATTTACATGGGTTGGAGCCTTCATCAGCTTGCTACTAGCCAAATCAACTTCCCTGTTACATCAGTATCATCTTTGATGATGGAAAAATCAGTGCTGGAGCACTTGATTGAAACTGTTTGCTTAGTCCAGAATATTATTGAGGATTTAGAGGGTAAGGGAAAGAGATTGTACTGATTAGGAAGTGGAGTCCAAGTACTGTGGAAGAGGTCTTTTCCTTGAAATTTCAGGGCATCTGCAGGGCACAGATGCTGTTTGCACATGCCATGTCAGGAGGACAGATAGATCAGAACAGGTTCTCAGTTTCTACTGAGAACTTTGTTTAAAGCGCTAGAACTCTTCTGCATAGTCTTCTCTGAGTATAGAGCTACCTCTTATGATTTGTTAATAAAATGATTACCAATTCCTTTTATTTAAAAATATTATTTTTGTTTGAAACAGAAGCATAATGCAAATCTGAAAGCATTAAAGCCAGTCAAACTAGATACTGAGGTAAGATGCCATCATTTTCGTAAAAAAAACTCCTTTATTATTTTTATCTTGTCTGAAGAATGTGTTTTCAAGTGCCATAAATATGGTTACAGGAACAGGCAAAAATTGCAAAACTTGGATTAGAATTGCATCTCCTTACATCTGATGTGGATTCTGAGACAGAGAAATGGGAAGATCAGGAGAATGAGATCGTGCAACATGGACAAGGCATGTCAAGTATGGCCTACTCCATGTATTTATTTACCAGGTAATTACATTGTATGCAGCAAATTTTGGTGGGAAGAAGAGCCTTAACAGTGTTTATAAGAAAGAAGACAGTTTCATTTTCAGAGTGTAATAATTAGGACCCATTCAGAAAGGAAGTTGATTTTATCCTTAAGCTTTATAAATTTTTAAAAATTTCTAAGCTGTTTAGTAATAAAATTAGGCAGGCTGAACACCTATTTTGTTGCAGCCTGTCTATTTAAATATCTCTTGTGGACAGAAAACATTTTAAGAAGTATGTTCACAAATTCTTTGAAAGTCAAGGGAATTGAAGCACAGGTATATAATTGTAGATGAGAATTACTCATCTTTGCTGTACTAAAAAGAGTTGTTCTGAACCTTACCCTTACCCAAGCTTTCTTACTTGAAGATTTTAGGTTTGTTTTTATTTACAAAATGTTTCTGAGGTTTTTTATTTTTTTAAGCTACTAGCCCTATAGCTCTCAGCATGCCAGAGACATGGATTTCTCTTCTTGTTCAGCTTACAAGAACTGAGCCATTGCTAATTCCCCAATAATGCTCTAGCTACTGAGGTGTTGGTACAGTATTTTGAAATGCAGTTCCTGTAGTAAGTTATTGTTGTGTCTGGTATCTTCTAAAAGACTGATACTTTACAGTTCAGTGGTGTGGACTGTAAAACGTTCATTAGTGAGACTATAACTTATGCAAGTAGCAGGCAAAACAGTCTGCAGTCTGTACATGGCATATCTTCTGCTTTCCTTATTTCCTGCAGAGGAGAAGGACTTCTGAAAACTACTCAAGATTTATTTCATCAAGCAGAGGTAATATGTTTTTAACAAAACAGGAGGTGGGCACTCTGATTGAAGGCCAAATTGGAATGAAAGTCTCTGATTCCTTCCACATAAGTAAAGTGTACCATGAATTGACTGGCAGCTGTAGATTTTAAGCAGCCCAGCTCTGGTACATACCTTCTGAAAGCAAACTTTTCATAAAATACCATTCATTATACTGATAGGTGTTACATTCCAGCTAGGAGGAAGAATAGCAAATTATGGCATTATATGGCAAATACCAGTGGATTTCAATATATTAGTAGTATTTGTTGTGTCACTTAGCTCGGTCCCTGATAGTGTTAACAGATACTCAATCCTAGTCTGAGCAGCAGTATTTTCTTGGGAAAGAAACAGGATGTAAAAATTTGCATCATACAAACAGAAGGGAAGGGGCCAAATGAAGGAATGTGTGGATTCCTTGTGTCCAGCCTGCATGCTTGTGTTTAACAGGAGACTGGTTACCTTTGATAGGACAATATACAAACATGGCAGGTGTTATCTACCCACAAAAAATTTGTGAGCTGCCACAGTGCCAAAAATAATTGGAAATCGGGGGGGAGGGGTTATATGTAAAGGGAAAGCCTTTAAGCTTTGCTTATGTGGGAGGATGGCAGTTTGTAGTGTAGCTTCTTATTTCAAAAGTGACTGCAAACTGCTGACTTGTGAATTGTAAATATATACAACAACTATTACAAGTATTTCCTGCTACCTTCTTATTTTATAGCACACTATTAAAATTAGTAAAAACTTCCATTGTGGTTCATTTTTGTTACATGCTTTCTCCCATTTTCAGATTTTTGCCACAGAGGGCACAAAGCTTGCTTCAGCTCTTCATGCTTTCTCTGATCAGGTGATGTATGACCTCTAAAACAACCATTCACCTTATGACACCAGTGACACCAGTGCTTAAAAACTGGCTGTGCTGTCTCCTCTGTTCACTTAAAATCGGAGTCTTTAACATAGAGTTGTCTTGTCTTCCTGAACCACGTTTCAGGTACACGAGGATGACAAGCCTTTGCTTCTGTTGGAGGCTGAAAAACTCATCTCTGTGTGCAAGCAGCTCCAGATAACAGCTAAAGCTTCTGCTCAGGGTAAAAGTGCTACATTTACAAAGGTAAGGTAAAAATTATATATATTCCTGAAAGCAATGCCTAACTTGTTTTGAAATGCAGTAACTTACTAATTTATGCTCCTGTTAAAATATGGAGCAGTTCATGACAGCTGAACTTCTTGACTGGCTTCTCGATTGACAGGGTTTTAATAAGTACAAAATTTTGTGCTGTTGTGCAAGCATTCTTCTGCTATGCAGTATGTCACTGTTGCTGTTCCCTGTGTAGGAGAGGAACTGAAGTTCTGCTGTTTTGCACGTAACACGTTTTGAGCAGCTGATGTGCAAAATATGGAGGAAGAACCATAAGAACTCTTCCCTTTGCTGAAAATGTTTTGTCTATTGGGACGTCCCTCACTGATAACTAATCCCAGCCATTTGCTGCACTGCCTTGTCTCAGGAGGGAATTTTCTCCAGCATGGGTGCTGTTGTCTTCTGGCCTTTTTTTTATGTTTTCCCTACTATCAGAGTAGGGTTTCATTGAAGTTATCCTGACCTTATCCACTCACTCAATGCTGGGAGTTTGATAGGAGGCAAAATACAGTACACTGGCACCCAGCATACATGGAAGCCTGTTGGTGGATGGCTTGGATATTGGACAGTATTGCTCTACAGGGCAGGGTCTCAAGCTCTGCCAGGGAGGTTTAGGTTGGATATTAGGAAGAAATTCTTTACAGAGAGGGTAATCAGGCATTGGAATGGGCTGCCCAGGAAGGTGGTGGATTCTCCATCCCTGGAGGTATTTAAGAAGAGACTGGATGTGGCACTTAGTGCCACAGTCTAGTAACTGTGGTGGTAGTGGATCAAGGGTTGGACTTGATGATCTCAGAGGTCCTTTCCAACCTGGCTGATTCTATGATATCAATGTTTTAAGGAACAGTTTCCCTGCCCTGAGCTTATTGAGTCTAAGAATCAGTAAAATAATTAATAGGATATTTTTTCCTTCCTGTTACTTGAAGTACTAAAATTACTGTTCAAGTTTTGGATTTCACTGTTAACTCAAAGAGTTTACAGAAATGTTTCCCAAGACAATGATTTTCCTGGACTGTACTTAAAAAAACGAAAAGGTGGAAAGGTGTCCATAGGCTTCCACTACTTTATATTCTTTTTGCTGCTGAAATATTTTTTCAGAGAACTTCTATCAACATGCCCCTCACCTTACCCACTAGATAAAGAGAGGTACTGGAATTTTATCATGCTGCAGATGAGAATTTTCAGCAGAATTATAAGAGATGGAGTTAATACTGCATATAATTACACTGTAATCCACTAGATTGCAGTAATAGTACTGTTTTTTAATAATTATTGTTATTCTGTTGTTACTAATGCTTGTCATAAATGTAAATGTACATAAATGTAAATTCCAACCCCATCTGTATTTCTGAAATACATGCTTGCTTCTCAGTAGGTAGGTAGTGTACCCTAAACTGCCCAGAATTTTTTCTGATCATATTCATATTTGATATAAATATATACCTGTACAGCTGCCATGAAAGTTTTAGCATTGTTAATTACCACAAGAAGTAGATCTGCAAACCTCGGTGGGGAATGGAGGTCAGGTTTCTTGAAGAACTTAAGTATCCCTGAGCAGCAGTATGATCAGTGTGAGCAATATGACTTCTCTGCACCTGGATGTTTGTTTCCAATTGGCTGTGGAAAAGGTATTCCAATTTTACAACAGGGTCTAAAACTAGATAGAGCATGCAAGCCGCTCTGAACCAAACTGAGCACCTCGGGGCTACCTCTTGGTTTACACTCTCTAAACTGTATGGGAACCCCAGTCTGTTTGTACAGTGATGTATCACTGCATAGCAGTACTAGGCTCTCAGAATAATGTTTGTCAAGGGCCCAAACTCATAATCTGTGCTGAGTGTCAGACTTGAGGCATGAACTCAAATGCTCTAAGATTTAAGACAACTCTTAATGTAACTCACATCAAAGTAAGGCCTTCATGATTCATAGCTTTATAAAGTATGCTGGCAGGACATAATACAAAAGGGAAAATCATGAAGAATTGTGATGATTCATACTTAGATGACAAGAGCTCCTTTCCAAGAAACTCCTATTACTGTTTTAATACTGTATTGTTAGTAGAGAATTACACATTCTCTTGGGACGTGTGTCACTCCCTTCTGCATCATAGCTCAAGTCCTGGCTTAACAGAAGGGATGCTCTTGTTTTCCATGTATTTAATATAGAGAAATTTATAAAAATGTAGGCAAAACCATCTGATTAGAAGAGATGCCAGAAGGACAAATATTACTTATTCCAGCTCAAAGTAGATTTCCATCTTATGCACAAAACAACTGCCTAGCACAGGTAATGAGTGGTCTTGCTCTACTGTCAATTGTCTTGTTTAGGTTGATGCATGCATTCTGAAAACAAGGAACGTGATGACTCTATTATGCCAACTTCTTCCACTTTGCTTCAAATTACTGAGAAAGGTCAGTACTTTGTTCATCTGCACTTTTAAATAAGCTTTGGGTTTTGTTTTGTTGGGGTTGGTTGGTTGTTTTTAAGAAATACTCTTTTTTACATATATACACAGAATAAAGCAGGAAATGGTTGCCTTAAACCTGCTCCACCATGGAAAGAAGACAGAATACGAACTGGTACAAATGCACACACTCCAGAAAGAAGAGCAGAGACATTTGGCATCAAGTCTTTAGAAAATCATGTAACAAACCTGACGTTTTTAGAGAGCAAGTAATTATAGCACTGAGAAATGCAGGAACTCCCATTTGAAAATAACACTTGCTGAATTTTCAATATTACTTTCATTTGTGGAAAGTCAAGCCAGGTTAATTTGAAATGAAACTGTTGGCCTTTGTCACATCTAATAGATGTCCCATTACTTAGCCATTACAACACCAGCTAGTCTAAATGTTCTGTATTTTTATAATGTGAATGCCTTTCCTATGCTCACTGATACCGATTTTGTAATTAATGCTTATGAATGTCTTACTGGATGTTTCAACCCAAAGATGCTGCTAATAGACATTTTATGTAAAGACGCCTGTGCTGCATATGCTATATGTAACACTACTGTTGAAGTCTGTAAACTCATCTCTGGCCTATTTCAGTCTATGTATTTGATAAAGCAGAATCAGGAATATAGTCTGAAAGGCTGTGGCCCGAAGCACTGAAATGTTATCTTAGTTATACCTGCAATGAAGTAGTTCTAGAAAAAAAAACCAACCAACTCTTTTAGTAGCTGCACCCCTGAATTTTAATCTTGATGACATGACTGATCTTTATGAAAGGGTATTTCTAAGTGACTAATAGTCTTGACTCAAATCCTTTTTTTGTTATCCTCTATATTTGTAGACAGTAGTTGTTGCTTCCTTTTTTTTATTAAAATTTACTGAGCAGAATTTGAGTTGCATGTTTAACCACTGAAGTATTATGCAGACTTGACATACCATTTAAATTTTAAGAAAACAGATACTGATTGTTACAGAATTCTGTACAAAGGGCGTTATTTCACTTCAGGATGCCATGAAAATACAACCTGGTGTGAAAAGTTTATCTGCTCTTTGTCCTTATGCTTCTGTTGCATTTTTATTTTCAATTCACCTTTGTCAAACTCTGTATTGCTTTTGTTTAGCTGAAATTGATGATAGGTAATTCATATCATTTTTCTGTATGTATTATGCTTGCATTAAGCAAAAGCAAAGCTGATTGTGGAACACAAATACTCTCCAACATGTCCTTCTGAGCTTATTTAAGAACTTGTAGTGCTAGAACTCAGAGGAAAAAGAATACAGAAATTTTAATATACAAACTATTCAAACTGGTTTATTCTTGTATGAATCAAGCAGTTTAGTTCCACTTTTAAAACTGGCACTAGGCCTTTCAATACTACAAAACTCACAGTGTACAGTAGAAGTAGCTTGTTTAGTATCAAGTACAGATGGTAAGTGTAGAACTGATTTCATGAAGAAGAATTACGGCGTTTCAACAAAACTTCCTCGTACTCCTTCTGCGTCAGAAGTCCTTGAGTTATGCTCTTGCTTTCTTCAAATTTGGGTAGAACCACTGCAATGTACCCCTCGGTTGACGGCTAAAAAGCAAGACTGAAGTAAGCAGTGAAATAAAAGTTAGAAAATGAAAAGCAAGAAAGTGTCTTACCTTTTCTTGCAGAAGAGCGGGGTTACTAAGAATGTTTTCATTCACTTCTATCAGCCGCCCTCGTATACAACTGCAAAAGTGTTTAGATTCAGTAGATGTGCATAGTATGTCAAGGTAAGAAGAGAAAGGGAAAAACCTTACCTGTAAATGGTGTATTCCTCTCCATCTGATGAAGATATCCTGCACAGAGGGGCAAGTTCTGTCAAAAACTGAGCTCCCTGCATTTGGAAAATAAATAAATAAATATACATGTAGTTTAATGACACGGCTTTTAAAAGTATTACCATCAGCAACATAAGTTTGTAAGCTTCTCAGAAAGCAAGGATGTGTTATAGTTACAGGTCATTGCAAGTTACAGAGCTGTGCTTCCCTGCAGAAGGGAAGATGCCAACTTAGTTATGTGCTCAAATCAAATAGAAGCTTGTTAAGGGCTTCCAGATTTAGTCATAATTAAGTTTCTTGCAGAATAGCAGACCTGTAGTTTGATCAGATTAAAATCAGGGAAGAAACAGCATGGTTGATTTCAGTATAAGCAGGTTAAACTATAAGCAGGTTAAACATTCAAAAATCTACCCTGAAACACACTAAACTGGTCCATCTGCTATCTAGACTAGCTTGAGAAAAACAGCAGTCTCCAAATCCTTGGCATTTTCTTGGAAATAAATTTTTGTCTTTTCAGAGATGTTTATGTCTCTCTGTACACTATAAAAAAAAAAATACTAAAAGCAAGTGGGTTTGAGCAACACTGGAAACCTATCAGTGCTGTAGGAGCACTGCAGGACCTGGGATGGGACAGCCAGACAGGCACCACAAGAAGTCTAAATTCTTCAGCTGCAGAGGGGCTGGTTTAAAATACAATACAAAAGTAACCTCCTAGGTTTCTGTCCTAGAAAGGACAGGAAGTTTTAGGCAGTATGAGAGATTAAAATGAAAACTAACGAAAGAAGAAAGCCATACCCTTTTTGACTTCCCAGAGACCTTATTCTGAAGTCTGCTACAGTTGGCACTGATTTGGTAATTAATGCTTTTAATTGTTTTCCCACTTTGAAGAAGAGGATGGGCTTCTGCCAAGGTGATGACACAGATTCTGGGGGGAAAAAAAAAAGGAAGTATTATGCTGTAGTTTTGAGAAGCCATGCTCCTGTGCTCCAAGCAAGCTCCACAATCTTCTCTGCCTATGTTACTTGATGCCTGCTGTGCCACTCCAGATGAAAACTGCATTCTGACCTAAAACAACGCCCATAGGAGGTGCTTCATTTTGAGATACTAGACAGGATCATCAAAAGCACTACAGTTCTTACTTAAACAGAACCACTGCTTTTAAATATGCTAGAGCTGTTCTGTCTGTTGTTATACCCTATGGGAACATACTCTGTTCACTTGACAGCTAATAGCTGAAGCAGATACTCACTTAAGACAAACAAGTAGAGCACAGTACCCTTTTGTCACAAAATGTAATGCAAGGCAGTGTGTCTCAGAACAGCTAAAGGACATTTGTAGTGAATAGTTAGAGCAGATAAATCCTTCAGTGATCTGGGCTTTAGTTAACCTGCTGCTTGCATTTAATCTTTTTCTAAAGGAAGGTTATTTCTCTCCATGAAACTGGACAGTTTGAGACAAGCCAAGCTGAAGAGATGGCCTGCCTTCATCCCTGGTCTAGAACCATGTGTAACACACAAGCATGGAGAGCCCAGAACTTGCCAGTAAATGAAGAGAGATGAAGCTTTTCTGTTCAAGATGAGTATAAAACCTAGGGCAAGGACCAGAATTAACAGAACAGTGTCTGCAGAGAAAACCAGGGCACAGAACCAGATCTTTCCGTGGGGATGGCTGCATCTGTCTCCATGGACTTCTAGGGAGTTCTGGCTGTGCAGCTCCCACAAGAGGGAGCTGGATCCTGGTGAATGCATTCAGCATGCCCCAGCAGCAAAGCTACCTCCTCTTCACCCCAACCTCTTTCTAAGGGGGAGATGGCAAATTATTTATTTGAACACTCACTCATCTGTTGGAGCTGAGACCTTGCAAAACAAAAAAACATCCCCCCAGAATTCTATACTGCCTGGAAAAAACAAACTGAGCCACAGCCCCATACCTAATAAGGGAAAAATACTTCATAGAGCATTTGGCTAAGCTGCTGCGTGAGCCAAGGGCCCTGATATTGCACAATTCAAAGTAGCAGAACAGTCTTTGTAGACATTTGAGCAACAAATTTTTATTTCCTTTTCCCCCACATCAACAGGATTTAAAGTATTGTTTATATCAAGACAACTGAGACTAGTAACTACATATTTAGTACATAGGCAAGGGTGTCCTTTCTTGCTGTCACACCTTTTATTCACAGGCTACTCTGGTTTCTGTTTTGAAAGAATGAGAAAGGACTGCAGAAAACAGCCAGTGAGAAGCTCCAGCTCCAAAAGGCTGCAGCAAGGCAATGGTTCTGCCCTGTGCCAACCACGCTCTTCTTGTTATTCTGAACTGTTAACAGGAGCAGGCAACCCAAATGCACACAAATGTGTGGGCACACAAATGCAGCCTCACCTTCCCTCAACACGTGAGCCATTGGCACTGACAGTCTTTGTGTAGATAGCAGTTAGGTTTATTCTTCCCTCTGTGACCAAACACCTCAGAAACACTCCCAATGCCCCAGCAGGGCACTGCTGAGGGAGGTCAGATATGAGACTCCAAATCAGGTACAGGTTGATTTATTCCAAATAAATGGGTATCCAGCTACAGGTAAGCAGAAGCAATGCATGACATTTTCCTATCTTGCCTTCACCACCCATAGTACACAAATCACAGAATCTGCTGAGTTGGAAGGGACCCACAAGGATCATCGAGTCCAACTCCTGTCCCTGCACAGAACCATCCCTAAGAGTCACACCGTGTGCCTGAGAGAATTATCCAATCGCTTCTTGAACTCGTCAGGGTTGGTGCTGTGACCACTTCCCTGGGAAGCCTGTTCCGGCGCCCAACCACCCTCTGGGTGAAGAACATTTTCTCTTAAGAGCTTAATCTCTTTCTTTTATCGTAGTGCCCAAAACTGCACACAATGTTCGAGGTGAGGCCGCACCAGTGCAGAGCGGGACAATCCCCCCACTCGACCGGGCTGCTTTGCCTGATGCCTCCCAGGACATGGTTGGCCCTCCTGGCTGCCAGGGCACTGCTGATTCAACTTGCCATCCATCAGAGCCCCCAGGTCCCTCTCCCTGGCACTGCTTTCCAGCATCTCATTCCCCAGTCTGTCCGTACACCCCAGGGCTGCTCCCCATCCCAGGTGCAGAATCCGGCACTTCCCCTTGCTGAATGAAAAGCAATTAAGCTGCATATAGAAAAGGGGCCAGAGTCTTCCCGGGGGTCAGAGCCCGGCGGGCAGAGGGCGGACCCCACGCCCCCCCCGCCCCACTCGCCTGTTGGAGTGCTGCAGCACGCAGAAGTCCTCGCACGGCCGCCCCTTCACGTCTGCAACGAGGGCACAAACACCAGTCACCGCCCCGTCGCCGCCCAGGCCCCGGTCCCGGTCCCGGTGCCGGGTCCCCCCGCCCGGCGCTACCTGCTTTGTACCAGCGCGTAAAGTAGCGCTCCGCTCCCCCCGGGCCCGCCGCCGGGCCCTCCATCCCGCCCATCCCGGCCCGCCCCGCCGGCGCGCCGCGATGACGGAGAGAGGGGCGGCCCCAACCAACCCCCCCCCTTCTCCTCGGCACAGGAAACTCCAAGGAAATACAATTCTTACTTTTTTTTTTCTTCTTCTTCTTCTTCTTCCTTTCTTTATTCCCCCCCTACCCCCACCCCCGAAAAAGTAAAGGAAAAATGTTTCGCCACATGGCGAAAGCATCTTTCGCCACATCTTCGTCAGTGGGAAAAAAAAAAAGCTCAAACCCCAGCATTTGGTTCAGTGGTTTTATTTTCTCTAGCACGCAGCAATACGGTAACAGCAAGTCATCATATGTACACGCCAAAAAAAAAGGGGTACCTTAAATAAACAGCACGTTTCATTAAAACACCGTTTTGTTTCTTGCTTGTGGCAAACAAACACAATGAGCCACTTTTTCCACAGAAAGTTTAGCTGTGCTGGTGTCTCAGTTCAGGCAGCAGGAGAGCTTCACTGAATTCCATTTTAGCCTTTGAATTCCATTTAAGCCTTTGCTGTATTTTATATAAACATAAATACACACCTGCCATCACATATAGCTACAAAGGAGGAGAGACACCGTACCGGCACCTGAACCCCACAGGCCAGGCAGAATTTGAGAACTTCCATTCCTTTGTTCTGACTCTTGCTGCACATAGTAACTACATGACACCGTTTCTGTACAAATGCAGGCCAAAATTATCAGAAGAACATGTTACACAAAAAACCCAAAAACAAAACCAACCAACCAACAAAAACCCCACAAACCCCAAACAACTGATTCCAGCCTATTCCATTTACCTGCATCTAGCACAGGCACTAAAGGCAGCTGTAACAGCATATAAAATTAAGGTCTGTACCATAATTAAGCTATAGACAGATACACAAATCAGACACTTCCATTTATCAGTCAGAATAGGCAGGCACATTACAAACTGCTGCAAAAAAAATATGCATAAAAGTAAAGGGCTGCCTAGAGGCTCTGCCCCATCAGTTTGCCAAACCACGAATATTTTCAACATGAGTACACTGTAACAAATGCAGATTCTACTTTATAAGGCTGACAAACAACAAAACAACAACCAACCCAAAACAAACCAAAAAACCAAACAACCTTTTGTCATCTTGCTGGTACGAACCTACAGCAAGTCTCAGTCTATAGTCTTCTCAATTACTAGTTTGGACAGCTGTCTGTCATGGACATCTCCATCAATCATTAAAGAGGTAGAATACTCTAAAGGCAATTCATTTTTCATACTGTTACATTAGCAATGTGTTTCGACATGCAGATATTTTAATGTCAGTTGATCACATTAAAAACCAGCCAAGAACCCACTGGAAACACTGTCTGAAATTTGTAGATTTATCTCCATCATTTAGTCATTGATTTTAAAGTCTCTAGAGCAACACTGGGCCACATATCCGCTTCCTGTGTCATATCCAGTATGTGGACAACAGAAGTCCAGCTGAACTGGCAGCTATTTTGGTTGTAGGCTAGTAAAAAATTCAAAGCAAACTTTGCTCATCCAAGTTTGAAATGCCTCAGGACCACAGAGGGGGCATGCCCGATTTCTGTAGCAGCTGAGAGTGCAGGACAGAAGGTGAAAGCCCCATGGGCTGAAGTGCACTGTATTTATGGTGTTTTACCACACCATGGGTAAACACGGTGCCCCGAGCCCTACAAAGCCTGCTACGAGACAGTGAGGCTGCATCCCAGAAACTGCATCATGCAGAACAGTCGCAATGAGAGGTCTGGAGGAAAGGAAGGGACAAGTCTTGCTGACTTTTATTCCTCATGAATACGTGTTGCCCCTAAGGAGCAGTACAGGAGCACAAACTGAGGCACATCAGCACTGATGGTGACCAGCATTATTACCCTAGCACAGGCAAGACTTGTTTAGACAGGTCAGGGTCAAATCAGATCACCCCAAAGAACGATACATTCAGCTCCAACAAAGAGACATCAGGAACACCTCCAGGGGAAAAGCAGCTATATTTGGAGAGATCGGGAATGAGGTGGGACTGCCAAGATTGGAGGGCAGTATAGGAAAAGGCATGAAAAAATTTCATTTGACAGGTTTAGTGTGTGTCAGCATGGATGCCAGCATGGTTATTTGGATCTGTTTTTCTAAAAAGGAGGCAGTGATGGCAGAAATAAAGCAGCTTTTGATGAGCCAAAGATTATGGTATTCAAGCACTAGAGGTGGAAAGGGAAAGATGAAGATCAGCAGGTGGGTTTAATGCAGAGTTTAGCAACTCTTGAAGTTAAATGACCATAGAAGTAAGGGCAGAATTATCATCAGAGTTAAGACTAAAAAAACAAGTTACCTCCTCTTCTGAGAGTTCAAATAAGATGTCAGTTTAAGTGCATGGAAGATACAGAAGCAATGGGTAGATAGATATCCATTTTTCATCATACTCATAAATACTACTAATTCAAGCTTGGGAACTCTAGAATATGACTGCTATAAGAAAAGGATGGGTGATCAAGAAGGTGCTATAAAAAAATAGCACATGGCTGTTGTACCATGGCACAACTCCTCTGTTCAGAGGTGTGCTTCTAACAGCAGTCCAGAGGCTTAATCCAAATGCAATAGGATAGAATACAGAATGTAAACTGTTTGATGAAAGGAGATAATGCACCTACATTTTGTCAGTGTTCTTATTAGAGATGAATGCCCAGCACCAGAGTAGCTTATAGTGATGAAAAGTTAGGTTAAGGGGAGGAAGATGTGTGCTTCCAAAAGGAAGTTCTCTTCCTCTCTCCAAACAACTGCTCACCAAGTAGAGACACACGGGTTCCTACATGGCAGATATAGGGGAGGTGGTAAGAGCCCATCATAGCTTAGTGCTGCTTTCAGGATGCATTAGCAGAGCTGAAGGAACTACGCCTTTCTCAACCCCCTGGCTTCAAAGGAGGCACTGAACAGGATTTCATCACCATGGGCAGAAGATTCAACCTCAATCTTGTTAACCTCAGAAAAGACTGGAGGAGGAGGAGAAGCTAATATTCCATTGGCTGCAAAAACTCCTCTGATACCCATTTCTCAACTAATAAAAAACTCTCAAACCCCTCAATTAATTGAAAACATCTGTTTCTGAGGTGATAGAATATGTTTTGGCTTCCATTGTATGACAGACCAACAGACTGCTTCAACCTATCAGCTATCATTAAACACTTCTGTGGTGTTCAAGCTTCTTATTTAGCTGGTGATTCGAAGCAGTGGATCAAAAATAAGTACTAATTGTTATATTTCCAGGAATTTTAAAGCCAGCAAGATATTATAATTGTTAGTTATTATACAAATAAAAGTTGTCTAATATTCACCTTCCCTGCAAATGCAGAATTTATTTATTTTGCTATTGTTTTTTCAGCCTTCTTCCTTCAGTTATATTCAGGGTGGTGAAAAAAATATTAAGACTAACTTCAAACCACACAGTTAAGTCTATACTTGATATTCTTAACATGCTGATTCCCTAGATATGCTGTCAAACAAATTTTGGTATTTTGGATTTCTCAGCCTTAGTTCTTGCAAAGAATATAACTGCTTTGCAAGCACAAGTTTGTGTGCAATCACACTGAACTAGAAGTAGGCAGCTCTCCCACTCAGCTCATTTTCCCAAAGTAAACCAACACTTTACTTCAGGAAGCTGTTATAGTAAATGACTGTTTTATCTCAGCCTGTACCGCTCCTCCCTTTGATATCAAACAGGTTTTAATATACCTTTGTCATTTCAGGCAGTGTAAGTGGGATACAGCACTGGTTTTAAAGCCTTTTTACTGTAATTCATGTATTTTAGAGCCATACTTTTACAATTTCATAGCTGTACTTTTGTTGCTGATTTGACAAATCAGTGAAAAGCAACGGGTATCAGAAGGGATCAAACAAGTAAAACATTTGATGCAAACACTTAGAACATTATTTCATATTAATTTGTTTGCAGTGGAAAGCAACTGGAATAAGACACAGGGAATCCACAAGCTGTTGAGAGCACCACCACTGCAAAGGATGGAGTCAGCTGCCAATCCATATAAACTAGGTGGATGAAGAAGAGATGAATGTCTACCAATACAAACACATGCTAACCGTTACATGTCTTTTTCTCATTTTACACTGCTCACTGTGATTTGTATCCACTGATTTTGATTGTGCTAAAATAAAAACCACTGTTGTTTTGCCTCTCTAAACCAACCAAACCATTGAAGTAAAAAAACATTACATATAATTACATACAGTAAATAAGTTCAGTAAAAAAAACAACCTAACCCCAAAGACAATACCGATTTGGCACTTTAAGCATGTTTTACTAAGTACCACTTTCCACAGTACCATAAGCAATGCTAAATCCCAAGTAAAAAAACCCAAAACTTTAAAGTGTTCGTTTCTATCCAGGGAGAAGGAAGGAAAGGGCTTAACAACAAAGCACACCAATAAAAATATCTAGTCTATATCAAATGTACCTCTCCAATAAGGAGTTTAATAGAAAAAAAACCCTACTAGTTATAATTTAACACCAAGCTGTCTTTCTGGCAGCCAGGATTACAGGTTTATCCTGAATACAATCTTATGTTCGAACACTGAGATAAGCAGCATTATCCCAAAACCCAGGAGAATCCCAGCATTCTGTAACAGGAAGTATCCCCACCGGCTACATCCATGATCACTGGCATCATTGTGGAGCATTTCAGGTACCTAAACAAACATGAAAGTGTTAAATGCCTTCAAAACAAACAATTACTTCAAACACAGTTCTGGAGGTACAATATATATTTTTAAAAAATATCTGTCTTCATGCCAAGAAGCAGTAACGATTTCATGGAAAAGTTGGAGCAACTTTGGTGGTGCTGACAGTGTGCAACTTGCAGTCTTACTGGCCATACTGGGCACTGTCAGCAGCAAATTCCTTACCTCTGTTGTTAACTGCCTCTGTTTAACAGCTAAGGGGAAAACAGAGCCTGTTCCTACAGTAATCTGAATAACATTTAACCTTAACATTTAACTGA